GAGGGGGCATTACTAGAAGAGTCTTTGCGAGTCTAGCCTGGGCTTGGGACAGGCCCGCTCCTATGCGCCCAGGCCTGGGGGGCGTCGGAGCTGCTTCCGTGCGCCCAGCATCAGCGGGCGTCGTTTGCTGCGGCTTTACCAACCCCCGCCCCGCCGCCGCCCGGGAGAGCGCCCGTGCCCGCTCGGCCACGGAAAGGTGCAGGGCGGCTGCGAGTTCTGGCTCGCCAAGGCCCAAAGCATGCGGGTCGCGTGGCAAACGTGTCCAAGACGTGTACCCAAAGGGCGGAACAAGTGTCATGGAAGGGCGTCGGGGAGGGAGGGGTTAAACAGCGGAGCTACCAGGGCCCGAGTAAGGTCAGAGTTTCTCTCCCCGCCTGAGGGCTGCGGCGGCGCTGCCGCGTGGCTGTGGCCTTCCGCGCGGCTGTGCACGTGGAGCGGAGTGTTGCTCCCGGCTCCGCCCCCCGACTCCGCCCCCCCCCCCCAAGCTGACAACACTCAGGCCCGCAGCGGCGTGTGGCCGTGTGTTCATCACTGCAAATGAAACTCCATGTTTAGGCTCTTAGGGAACAGCGTTTTTGCCCCTGGAAGGAGGACTGGGAGAGAGAGGGTGACAGCTGAGTGCAGACACAGAGGAAAGGCCCCCGCCCCACCGGTGCTGCGCCCCCTGGGGGCCCCTGTGCTGCCGCTGCGCCCCCGTTGCAGCCTGAGCGTTGCAGCCGCTGCTTCAACCGATCTCTCCACGGCGGCCGCAGAGCGCGGCCCGGCTGGTCTCGAGAAAACAAGACCCGGGTGTTCTGGCGCACCTGTGTGCGCCGTGGTCGCACTGGGGACTCGGTGACAACTGGGAGACGCCGCCGGACAGCAGTTGCTGTTAATCTCGACAAGTACTTGGCACCTACTAGGCCGTGTGCTCGCGCCGAGACGGCCCGAAACGTGTGCAGGAAGCAGGTTACATACAGAGTACGAGGAGTTCTTCGCTCGCCTGCGGCCGAACACTGGTAAACGACTGATAACCAGGTCACATCTGCTCAGTAACGATTCATGTAAGTCGGTCCGAGCGTCGGCCTGATATGCCAAGGTCGTGGGTTCGAGCCCAGCCAGGCGCACGGAAGCAGCAAACAATAAACACATATGTAAGAGGCACAAACCCTTGTTTCTCTTTCTCTCTCTCTAAAGTGAATTAAAAGAAAAAAAATTTTAAAGTATGTGTCCAAAAAGTTAACAGTTCTGGAGTTCCTAAATTGGGATTTGGCCCGGGGGTCAACTCCACACGTCACCCTGGTTAAGAACAACTAATGAGAACAGAAGAGAGAGACGCAGAGAGAGAAGACGGTTGAGGGAGAAAGACTGCCCAGCTCCGGGATCTCGAGAGTTCTAGACTCAGTCAGTCATCAGAAATGCTAATGCCAGCACACGCAGTTTTATACATTCTACTCATCTACAGTAAAGCCCAGCATTCCCACGGGCATCTCGGTTGTCTGCTTTAGTCTCAGCGAATTCTCACTAAACTCAGTGACCCGACTTGGGCACAAAATGAGACGGTGAGCCGAGGCAGACAGCGGCTCAGGAGCGCCGGAGGTAGAGGGGTGCTGGATTTCCACTCACTAAGCCAGTTGTGTGTGGCTGTACTCACGAATATGTTGCAAGTGTAATTCTGGAATTAACTAAAAGCTAAATTACGATTAACAGACTTTTTCTTATTAGCGAGAACTATTTAAATGCACTGCGAGGCTTCAATTTTTAAAAACAGTTGTTACATTTTTATAAAGAGGTCTTTGCTCATCTGTCAGTTCCTTTGGCCCAACAAGATTACTGACATTTCAGATTTAACATTCGATAGTTAATAGTGGCACTCAGACTTCTCAAGCCCGAGGGCGGCCGCCACAGCCCCGGGGGCGGGAAGCGAACCCGTGCGTCTGCGGGGGCGGAGCAAAGCCGAGCCCGGCAGGAGACTGTGAGGCCGCACTTCCAGTCTTGGCACCGCCGGGTCTCGTGTCCTTCGGGTGACGCGCAGGGGTTTCCGTAGGACGACGTCTTCGTCGCCCCGAGAGAAGCCGGCACAAACCGCGGTGGGTGTCAGTGCCGGCCGTGGTCCGGGGTCGGCGCGCTCAGCATCCCGCAGCCTGCAGCTCGGCTCTGCCTTGTGGGCGGTGTGCGGCCCCGGGCGCTGTTTGGACGTCTTCGCTTTGTCGTCTTTAAAAAGAATGTGGCGTCGTTTTGTTTGAGGTTCTTAGATAACCGCAGGTGTGTGTGTTTTGTTTGGAAGCAGGAAGAACAGCTTTGTATTTGAAAGGGTTACCGTAACGAAGGTCAGTTCCCTGGCCCTCTCCTACACCCCTCTCTCCGGGAGTTGCATCAGAAAGCCGCTGCGCTGGGCACGGGCCTGCTCTGGCCTGGAGCCAGCGGACTCCCCCTCCCGGTCTGTCCGTCCGGGGCCCAGCTGTGCTGCACCTCCCGCTTCTCCCGGATGCCACCACCGCTCCTCTGTCCAAACTCCCCCTGTACCTTGCTCCCCGCACCCGGCTGACTCCCGGGCTCCCCTGGCTCCCTGACTTGACTGCCGACGACGACGGAGGCGGGGCACCCTTCAGTGGCCTCGGGAACTTCTCCGCGACACCCAGGGACTGCTAGCAGACTACCCGTGTCCCGGTCTCGCACCGGACGGAATCCCCGGGCAGAAAGGACCTGGTTCTTACGTGCGTCCTTACAGTCCCTAGGCCGCTTGTGGAGAGAGTGTGGTACTATTTGTTGAATGAAATGGAGTGCATGTTCCAGAGGTTAAAGGTAGGAATTACTGAGGGAAGTCAAGAAGTGAACAACTCTGCGTGGAAATTAAGATTTATGTTTCTGGCGGGGAGAAACCCGCCCGCCGTTCAGGGTCTGGCATTTCGCTGGAAACCGCGGCACTGACGTTCCACACGGACGATCTTCAAAACTGAAATCTAATCCTCGGGTTTCTCTCGTGGTCGGTTTTCTAAACCAAGGCAAGGAAATGTAACTGTCTGCTAAAATGGAAAGCGAAAGGGATAAACCACAAACTATACCCTTCCAGCAGACCTTCGCGGAGCTGGAGAAGCGGTCACACGAGCGGGCTCCCAGACTTCGCTGCGCCTGCGGGGCCGCCCGCCGGTCGCGCGCGCCACCCGTGGGCCCTGCAGGGCAGAGCTGCTGCCGGGCTCCCCGCACCGGTCTGGGGCCGCGCTCTGCGGGTCCTGTGCCGCCAGCGCGCGGGGAGAGCTGGTCGGCACCGCAGAGGAGCGGCAGGGGCGGTGACAGGCGCCTGGGGTTCGCGCTGGCGCGGAAGGGGCCCGGCGGGCGGAGGGAACAGCGAAGGCGGTGAGCTGGCCCCCGACGCTACGTTTGGGGTTTACTCGAGTCTCCTGATCTTTGCACGTTTGGGGTCTTTCAAGTTTAAATCCCTCGAGACTCAGATTCTGAAACAACACGAACACCGCGAAAGGGGGCGAGAACACAGAGGCCGAGCCCCCCGACCCCGCCCCGGGTGCCCGCGCTGGGAGGAAGTGGCGGGAAGCGGGCGAGCCTGCCGCGGGGCCCCACCCCCTCACCTTCCCGACCACCCAGTAGTCGCTCCCCACCCCTTTCTGCGGCGGCGGCCCAGGAGAAGGAAGCTTGGGACACAAGCAACCCGTCGTGTTTAGTAAAAATAACGCAAAGCCTCCTTAAAGTTAACGTCCTGAGACTGGGTCAGAGGAGGGCCCGTGCCCCAACACCCTCATCCGGAAGGGGGGGGCGGCGGGGTGGAGGGCCGAGTGCCCGGGGTCGGCCGTGTGGTGCGTGTCCCTGCGCACTTGAACTTTATTTGGTCCTCAGTGGGGGAGGATGCGCTGACAGTCTTCCTCAGCATTAATTCAGTTATTTATAAAACCTTAAACAAAAAAGCCACAGTCGCTTAAAAGGGACTGAACACAGAGCGAGGGACAGTTAGCGGAAGGAAAGCATGACTCCCTGCGGAGCTCTTCCGCGCGGTTCCGGGGGCAGAGCGGCAGGGGCGGGGAGGGAGAGAAGGCAGCCCCGCCCGTGCTCGCTCACACACTTGCGCGCCCGCCCGGCCCTCCGTGTCCCGGTCCCTCCGTGTCCCGGTCCCTCCGAGCCCCGTGCCGCCCAGGAGGGAGGGAAGGGTGGCCTCTGCACCCGCCCCCCCGCCCCCGCAGCCGCAGCCCGAGTCCTGTCCTCCGCGCACCTGCACGTGTGCTGTGAGTTACGACAGAACCAACCTAAGGAACACGTGTTGCCATGAAGCTACCTGACACCGATGCACCTATTTGAAAAATGCGACCTAAAATATTTGAGTGCTACAAATAGTTCCTTAGTAAGAATCCTTGAAAAGGAGAACGTCATAGAATCACACAGCACTGCTAGGTCCTGAACACCTGCACGTGCCCCCGCCCCCCCGCCCCCCGCAGGTGGCAGCTCAGCCCCCAGAGGCTCCCCCTCACACTCCGGCCGCAGGGCGGGGGACCGTCCGCAGACAGAAGGGGTGGGAGGCGAGACTGCGGGGCCGGGAGCGGGACTGGGCAAGAGCCGCGGCCACCTCCGCCCGCGCGGAACCGGCGACCACCGGGGAGTCGGGCAGCCCGAGTCAGAGCCTGCCTGTCAGCAGCGGGCGTACAGGGCGGGGAGTGCTAATTCCGGGTCCTCCTGGGGGCGGCCACCCTCTTCTAAATTAAAACAAAAAACAAAAAACAAACAAAAAAAAGGAAAACAAAAAAGCCCCCGCTGGTACATTTTCACAGCATCTCGGTTTATTGATGGAACAAAGCCATGACGTGGAGTACCGCCCCTCCTCCCCGCCGGCAGAGGGCGCGCTTGGGAGCGCGGTGGGCGGAGACAGCGGAGGGGGCGGGGCGGGGCGGAGGGGGCGGGGCGGAGAGAAGGCAGCAGAGGCGGAGGGTGAGCGCAGGGCTGCAGACGTGTTTATTGAGAGCATGCTACAGAGGGGCAGGTACACAAGGAAGGAAACCACCGTCAAACCTCCCGACTTTGTTAGAAAATTAATTTTTAATTGTGCCGCTTTCAAACTATGCTGAATTTTACATTTCTAAAGATGTAAAAACTCAACTAATAGAAAATATACATGACCGTTCTGTCTACATAGATAACAGAATCTATGAATCTTGAAACTAAGTACATCAATTTCAAAAAAGTATTGGTCATTTAAACAGAACCAACAATTCAGATCGACAAGAACTGTTCAAATTAATTTGACCTGTAGATTCTGAGCCATGTTTTTATTAAAGTCAGATCTATTCCTAAATACAAAATATTTTGAAGATTTATTAAAACTGAATATTACAATGCAAGGTAAATTAAGACTAAAGGCACATAAACTTTGGTCCCACCTGGTTGTCAGTTTTAGAAAACTGCCACAGAATCAACCTCCCTGCAGGCTCCCGCAGGGCGCTTGCTCCGCCTTCGAAAACACATGCACCGGCTCCCGCACTAGCTAGACCCGCCTTCACATGCTCAGAGATCCACACCATGTTCCAAGTCTCCGTTACGAACTAAGGATGGCGAGATATATTTAGATGCACGTAAGTCATGTCAACTTCAAAAACGTCTACGAAAAATATTCAGCCACAAACAAGACAGTACTCAGTGCTGACAGTTACAGGACGCGTCCCACAAGAGCGTGTACAAAAGGTTAAGGTTCCACGAGGCTTCCAGGCAGGGCTCAAACTTACAGAAAGCAACGCTCCGCATCTCGTGAGCTTCGGCTAACGCCTCCCTTCGAAACGGACTCTAGACCAGAACCGTGAGATACAAAGGGCCGATGTGTTTGTAAAGCAATAAAGCCTAAGGCAGTAAAACTAAAAAACGCTGCTTTAGTCTTCACTATCCTATATCTTACTGGATTAAATAGAAAGAAATGTGACAAGCCAGTAATTCAAAGTAAGTTCCAAGCAGGAGAAAACAAAAACTTAACCTTTTTACACACCCCTGCCCAAACAAGTTGTGACCCCACAGAACAGTGTGCCTGGACAGCCGATTCCTTTGCTCTAGTAAATGCACAACAGCAACACTAGTTTTCCTTTTAAGGCACGTACGTCAACTAAGTTGAAAAAGGAAGGTGAAACTGAAACTTCCAACGGACAAGAAAAATGGCCTCCCCTCCGCACAGATGGAACGCAGCAGTTACCAACGCCTCTGCCTTCACACACGCCGTTCCGCTCTAGAACCAAGGAATGGTGACAGCATGAGGAAAAAAAGAAACGAGAACAAAACCCAACTCTGGTCCCCACTCTTCGAACAGTCCGCAGCAGCGGCGCCGCCGGCCGCCCGCCCGCCCGCCGCGCCCGCGCGCGCCCTAGATGGTGGACTTGGAGAAGGACACGCGCAGGTGGTGGCTCTCGCCCAGGTTGTAGTTGTGCAGATCGATCAGGGCCTGGATGGCCTCCTCCACGGTGGCCATCTGCAGCAGGGCCATCTTGTGATCTCTTCTGAAACAGAACACACGGTCCGAGGCTGCGCACGGGGCGGCGCCCGTCCCCCCCCTCCCCCAGCCCGCGGGTGTCCGCTCCAGAAACGCAAGCGTCTACCACCCAAAGGACACAGACGACCCCGGGGGCACCGGGGAGGGCAAGAGAGCCTGCTTACTGAAAAAACTTGAACGCCTTCACAGTGCCCCCCGTGTTCGCGAACAGGGTCCGCAGGTCCTCCTCCGCGACCGAAGGGCTGGGGAGAGGGGGCACAGCGGGGGCGGTTGTTAGCCACTGCGACCCCTTCCTTCTCCAGCCGCGGCCCCGACAAGGCCCTGCTCTGATACTTACGGGATGTTGGACAGGTGAAGAGTAGCCGAAGGAGGAAAAATGTTCTGAAAGTTTTTGGATCCAGGTTTCTTAAAACGATGCAATGGGGAATTACCAAAATCTTTCGTGAGACCTTGGTCATCGAGTCCCTCCCGAGGTAGCTGCACAGTCTGGTGTTTAGACAGAGTAACACGAATAATTTTTCCATACATTTTCTGTCCATTGAGATGGTTCATGGCTGTAAAAAAAGAGACAGTGCATACTAAAACAGTTAACAAAGTTCACCGCACAAGTAGCTGACTGAGATCTGAGTTCTGTGATCTACAAAGCAGCCATGAGTGTCCAGCAGCCAGTGGTGACGGACACGGCGACTGCACGGAGCGGAAGCCCGGACGGCGGCCCTGTCCCCCCCACAACGCTGACCGCCGCCACCCGCTCGGCGCCGGGAGGGCCTGGGCGCTCGTCTCCTACCCGCCCTCCCGCCGGCTCCACCCCCGGCCCCTCCGCGCTCTCCTCCCCGCGTCCCCACTCCCCAGGGCCAGCGGCGTCGGCCCGGATCACTCCGTCAGTTTCCGATTCGCCTTCCTGCAGGATCCTTCTCGACTTTTCTCCAACCCAGTCCACACACTGCAATCCTGATTACTGCAAATCGGACCATGTCATCACCGGCCCACAGCGCCCGTCTCAACGCCCACAGGGGTCAAGTCTGAACTCACTCCGCCATCGCTGACACCTCCCTGTGGGACCCCAAGCACACGGGCACCGCTCGTGTCCCACAGGGCCTCCCGCGCTATCTGGGCACAGGCCCCGCCCCGGCAGCCCCCCGAGAGGTGTGGCCTCAGGACCCCGCCCCCAGGCAGGGAGTTCCGGTCCTCTGAAGAGCAGCCCCAGGCCTGCGAAGGGTCTCTGCGCCCCTGCAGACCGACCGACCGTGAGGCCCACGGCCGCAGGAAGTGCAGCCCGCCCGGCCGAAGCGCGGCACTGCGCGCGGCCACCTCCCTGCCCAGGGAGCAGCGGCGGGCGACCGTGGACACCGATGGCCTGGTCTGAGGCCGCAGAAGAGCCGCGCGCCGCACGCTCCGCGCGCCAGTCCCCAGCGAGGAGGCCGTTTCCTCAGTCTCGCGCCCTGGCCTCGCCGAAGGTCTGCCGGCCACTCCGCGCGTCACAGGGTCAACAGCAGCGGCAGAGGCGACGAGGAGGAACAGGTGGCTGAGGACAGCACCCCTGCCCTCAGACCGCGTCTCCCCGGAGAGGACCGCAGTGCGCAGGCCCACCCGGGCGGCGCCCAGGCCCGCCCACGACACACTGGGTCTGAAAAGGGAGACCCTGCGAGAGCGCCAGGCGCCACTGGCAGGAGAACCAGAAGGACCTTCTCCCCACTCACCAGCTCCCTCGTCTGGGAAAAGCTCGGTCTTCCTGTCCCACCGCAGTGCTGCAGACCTGCGGTGGGTCTCCTTCGACCTTCCGCCCATGGCCGCCACCAGAACCATCACCGCAGGCCCGAATGTCTCCCTGGTCTGACACCGCGGCCCACGTGCACTCGGAGATTCACACCAACCACCCCACAGGGTCTCCCCATCCCGACAGGGAGAGGGCACACACGGCTTTTATCGTGAGACACGCCATCGGATCTGCGCAGTGCTTTCACTATCTAGCTTTATCTGAAAGTCCCACTAAAACACCTCCTTCGACAGCAAAACGACGAGAAGCCACGGACCATCAGCTGCTGCGGAGCCCGGGGCCCAGGAGCCCCGCCGTCCGGGAGCAGGGGCTTCCGTGAGAAGACCGGGCAGACGCCAGGGGGGTTCACAGCCTCAGCGCTGCCCCCCGCCCCCCGCCACCGTTGGAGGTGGGGCCTAAGGAGGCCCTGTGAGAAAGGACACGGGGCGCTCCGAGGGCAGGCCAGCGCGGACCACAGGCGCAGGCCACCGGCCACGAGCCAGAGCACGCTCAGGGCCCTGGCCAGAGACGGATGGCCGCACCTCGCCCTGGGCGCCCCCGCCGCCCCCGCCTCCCCCGCCTCCCCCGCCTCCGGGACCGCGAGAAAGGAACGCCCGCCCGGCCGGCTGCCCGGCCTGTGGCGTGTGGCTGCGCAGCCGGAGCAGACCAGTGTAGCAAATCTAAACCACCGCTCGGCTGCACTAGTCCTGACACCAGACAGAGCCAGCAACTCTCCAGAAGAACCTGGTTTAGTTCCACCTCCGGTACTTCTCAACCACCACGACTGTGCACACCCATTGTCATGCAGCCATGCCACTCACGGCTCCCACAGCGACAGGGGACGAGATGCACCCCCGGGGGCTGCGCCGGGAGCGGGGACGCACGGAGAACTGCCCCCGACCCTGACCAGGACAGCCCCCCCCAGCCCAGAGCACACGCAGGGAAGGCGCGAAGACTGACCCAGCCTCTTCCTTGTCTCTCGTGAAGGGACAGAGGGCCGCACTTCAGAAAGTGGGCCGGCCAAACGCACACACTTCCACCGCACTCCGTCTGAGCCGCTGCAACGCCGACAGACGGCCATACTCATGCCCTCCCGTCCGTCCGCCCGCAAAGGCCCAGGGGTCCAGTACACCATGCTGTTCGCCGGCCTCGGCAGGCACAGCAGAACCACACCGGTCCTCCCATCAAAGATGGCAACTGCCAAACTAACAGCGTGACCACAGCCGGAGGCAGTGCCCACCCCAAGTCTCACCGACGGCCTCCACGCACAGAGCGAGTGCTGGCTCCGAGCACCCTGTGAGTGTGCCGTCCTGTCCGGGGCCCCACGGGGTTGACTTTGTGTACGGGTGCAACGGGAGGTTAAAATCACCAAGCCATCCGGGCAAGAGTGTTAAGTATGACCGGAATCTGCTTTAAGATTCCAAGAGGGTGGATGGTGTCTCCGGCACAGGTTCTTCATTTGGAACGGACCTGGTATCTTAGGACCCCGGCCCCGCGCCTCCCTGACGACGCCCCGCAGCCCCGGAGGCCCCGGGCCACGCGGGCAGGAGGAGGCCCGCCACAGGGCGCTCCACGCCCCAGCGCCGCGGGGCTCAGGGGCAGCCGTCCCTGCAGGGGAGCCCAACCCCGTTCCCACGAGCCCCAGCGTGAGCGCCAGTGAGAGGACAGCAGGAAGCACGCGTGTGCCCACCACACCACCGTTCACACTGAAATGGGGAGTCGGCGTGACACTGTGAGTGCTGGCTCTTAAAAAGGAAGTGTTTCTCACTCCCACGCGGGGTGTGACTTTACTAGCAGACTCTTGCGAGCCGTCTGGAGTCAGACGGAGGGGCAGAGGGAACAAGGCCATCTCACCGAGCTGGGACTGGTTTCCGTCGGCCATCTGGATGAGGGCGCTGTCCTTCTTGTTGTACAAAATCTTCACGCGCTGCACGTCTCCATAAACACCTTTGGTGGGGCCACAGAGAGGTAATCCGAAAATGGAATTAATTTTATGCACGCGTCAGCTAAAGATTATCTTTTTGACATATTAATGAAACATTCAGACACCAACATGATCACTCATTCAAACTCATCAGTCTCACAAATGAATAAAGAAAGATCAAGATTTTGAACAGTGAATTTAGAAAAGAACAAATTTTGATAAACCCTCAAAGCTATGTGAATGATATTAAAGACCATGCAAAATAAATCAGCATGCATTAAAACAAATTTTGTGTCTATGGAGAGTTTTAAATAGCAAAGAAAAATAGCAAAAGATTTACTATTCAACTTTAAGCCAAAGTGCTAGCTACAAATAAGAATTAAGGTGAAAACAAAATCAAATCAATAATAAAAGTATAGTGCTAACAATAACATACCGAAGAGGGTAAACAGACTTTGGGGCGTAACCATCTTTAGAAGGAGAGAAGAGCAAGCAGCGTAAGACAAGAAGAGAGAAGAGTCGAGGAAGAGCGGAGATGAACAGATCATCCATAACGGAGGGTGGTTCCCGCAGAATGGTGAGGTGGTCATGGATCATGGTTCAAGGCGGTTAATTGGGGCAGGTTGGTCCGAGGAACATTTGTTCAAGCACGGAAGCATGAACAGAGGGAATGGAGACAGGGGATGAAGACAAGGACAAGGGAAATAAAGGGTAAGACGGGGGAGGGGTGGGCGTTCGGGAAAGACAAGGAGAGGGAAGGTGCACACACAGGGACAAGGATGAAATGGGGAAGGGAAACAGCAATGCAGAAGAAAAAAATAAGGAATCGGGGAACAAAAAAAAAATAAAATATAGGTCAGTACATAGGAAATGCAGGAATTTGGTCAGAAAATGGTTTATGTACTGTACAAGAAAAACTGAGTAAAATGTAGTCATCCAAGACAAATATGGGTAAAGTACATCTACATCAAAGAGTCAATTACAGCATTTCATCTCAACGTGGGGGGAGAGCATGCACGGGGGCTCGAACTCTGAACTGGAACTGCATAAGCATGGCTGGTTATGAAATGCAGGCACACTTTTAAAAGAAAAACAAAGGCACTCTGATCCAAACATTTTATAGCATGCAGAACTGTGAATGACAATAGTTTAAATGATAAAATAAGCTTAATGTTCGTATTAACAGAGGCCAATTGAAAATGAGACAAGTGTTCCAATTAGACACCGTAAAGCGATACATGGAGCCTCCCACATTTCATACCAGCTCTCACAGCAAAGTAAAGTATACCAGACATGAAACGTACAACTGAAAAATAACTCAGCAATGGGTTTCATTTAACAAAGGGGGAGATAAAGCTGAAAAATATTTTTAGGAGACAATGACTAATAACTGCAAAGAAAAAATTACTAAGAAAGACTGGAAGAGGGTCTCGTCAAGATCTTTGGAAGAACCTTCAAAGAAAAATGCATTAGAGTAGTTCACATAAAATAAGATTTAAAAAAATGCAATGACACATAAGCATGAAATGAACAAGCAAATAATTAGAAAAGGCAAAGAGCAAAACTGTTTTACAGTTAAATCTGCAAATTGGATTACATTTGCCTTTGACAACAAAAGATAAAAAGCCAGACTACTGTACTTCACCATATTTTTCTTAGGAAAAATAGGTAGTCAGGTTAAAATATACACATATTTAAAGATATGACTGTCCGAGGAAATAAAGTATCACTTAAACAAGTACATAGACTTTATTCAGAAGTAGAAACGTACAAAAATACTTTGACTAATGAATGTACATAAAAAGAAAGGCAAGTGCAAAACGAAATAAACATGAGAAACTTTCACAGATGGGGTGGAGTTCCAGGACGGACACGGAGAGACCAGGCCACTAACCTCCTCGTTCAGGTTGCTGACCAGCAGGACCGTGTTGCCGCCGGCTGAGACTCCGGGCATCCCCACGCGGCCCGCCGCAGCTGCCGCCGCAGCCGCCGCGGCGTTTGGAATGGCCAGAGGGCTCAGAGCTCCTGGAACAGCTGCAACGGGAAGCCCTAATTTTAAAATAAAGCGCATTTTACGAAACACACACAAGTCTCCTACAAACACCACCGTGAGCGCGAGGCTGCCCGGCTCGGGGCTGACCGCCCCACGAGGGTCCTCCAGGTTCGTCTTTCTGACACTCAAGGAAAAACCGCTCCCGGTGGAGTCGCTCAGCATCAGGACTGAGGCACATACCTGTGTTATGTTAAAAATTTAATGTGAAGCATTCCATTTCCTATGAAAAGCAAACAAAGCACAAAGAATAGAATAGTCCCAAGTCAGAGACTTGAAAAACTCACTTCCAGGTTTACAGTGAGAAGTCGCACCTAGAAAAGAAATCATCCTCAACAGAACAGTAACTCGTGCTTTCGTACAGAGGTGCTTTCGTCTTCACACACGCACACCTGAAATCAGACAGGTAATTACGACCTGTGAAACCAGCAGGTCCCCAGGTCCTGCACAGCGGCGACTCCCCCCCCACCCGTGCGGGGCGGGAGTGTCCCCCGTGGGCAGCACCCGGCTCTTTGTCGGGGCGCTGACCGCCAGATAAGTGAGCGACAGCAGCCCACACAACAGCTGTCTGGTGTGAACAGATCAAAATGTTTTGTCAGTTCGGCAGAAAGACAGAGCTTTCATTGCGAAGGGTTTCAGTAATTAGATTCCGAGCCGTGAAATGGAAAGGGCTGAAAACAGCGGCTTATCGACACACCGCACTGCAGGGCTCGGTGTAGTCGAAGGCCCGGGGAACGCCTCACCACAGCGCGTCCCAGGAGGAAGCACAAGCCCACGTCACCACTCCCCCGTCTGCGGCGCACCCCGCCGTCTGCCCACCGGGCTCGGTGCCGCCGTTCCGGGCGCAGCCGTGCCCAGTGCAGGGCCCGCGAGCTCGGGCCTCACCGCTCGCGCGCTCACACAGCTCTCACGCACCGCGTCTCTCGCTAGGCACCGGGTTCCCGAGGACACGAGCGCAGGTCCTTTCCCCTCCGCCGTGACAAACCAGCGAGCGCCCGACTCACGGGGGGCAACTGGCCGGGCACCGCGGCCCGGAGCCGGGGTTCACGTCTTCTCTCTTCCCAGCCTCCTCGTCTGGGTCACGGGGAAGTGCCGTTCCCGTTTGGTTCCAGACACTTCGTTCTTTTAGCCACCGGTTGCGTTGTCTTTAATCCTTCTACTGGAGAAACCACCGTGACCGTCGCCGTCGGTCTGAGGGTGTCTCCTAGGGTCGCCCCGCTTCCCGGTCAGCCTGCGCTCTGGCAGTTGCTTCCCTGCCCACCCCCTGCCCGCCCCCAGCGACGCCCCGCCCCCTTCCCTGACGCCCCGCCCCCGGGCGGTGTGTGGTCCCTCCTCCACCGCCCTGGTGCTCTGGGGGAGCCTATGCGGAGGAGCACGCCGCAGCGCCAGACTCGGAGGGGTCCGCCCGCCCGCCCGCCCGCTCTGGCTGCACTTCCGTGGAGGTTTGTGAAGTGTTTCGGGTAACAGTGCACAGAGCCCGGGCTGGGTGGCTCGGCTGGGTAGCATGTTGCCCCAATGTGCCAAGGTTGCGGGTTCGATCCGCAGTTAGGGCCCTTACAGGAACCAACCAGTGAGTGCGTAAAGGGAACAACAAAGCAATGTTTCTCCCTCTCCCCCTCGAGATCAGTCAGTAAAAACTTTTTAAAGCAGCAGAGACACCCTCGCGGATGCCGCCCACGCGCCCTCTCTCTGCGCTCCACAGGGCCTCTCGAGGCCGCGGGCAGAAACCCGTCCATCCTGCCGCCAGCTGCCTCCTGTCCCCTCCCTGTTCTTCATGCTGACACAGCCGAGCCCCCGGATTCCTGCAAGGTTGACGGAAACCCTGGCGAGTGCTCACGACGCGCCCCGAAGCACCTGTTTCCCAGACCGGGCGCCTCCACTGCGGCCTCGGTCCACTCCGCTCGCCTCGACTCCAGCACCGAAGCGAGCCTTGAAACCGGGCGCTCCCCGCACGCCCAAGTCTGCCCAGGCAGGACACACGGGACCCCACTCCGTCACCCGCGCCTGGAGCTCCCGCTCCCCCTCCCCGCAGTGCTAACCCCCCTCCGAAGAACAGGCACTTCCCCCGTCTCGTCCGCCTCCTCCGCCCGCGATCGTCTGATTCGTGCACGCTCTGGGGAGTAACCTCACGGCAGTCACCGACCTGGACGGGACTTCTGGGTTGAGCCCTACCTGTGTCATCTCTCGATCTGGCTCCTTTCTCTCGCCCGGGGGACAAACGTGCACCGCCTCCAACTCCGCAGCTCCAGCACGCTTCCCGTCTTACACCCGCGGAACCTGGACCCGAAGGGTGAAGCACCACACCTCGGCCTGCAGCCCCGACCCCCCAGAGCTCCGCTGCAGGAGCTAGGCCACTCCACTCCCGTCTACGGACCCCGGGTTCAGGTCTCTGCAGGAGTCGCGTCAGCAAGGTGCCGCGCGCCCCCACGTGTCACCCCCCACTCTGGTTGCTCCTCATCCTCACTGCACGACTGCCTCAACGCTCGGTCCTGGGCCCTGGGTCCTGGGCCCTGGGTCCTGGGACCTGGGTCCTGGGACCAGCGCCAAGGCCTCACCCTCCCAAACACTGGTCCCTCCCCAACATCAGCTCGTGCTGTGTGCCCCTAACCCTCTTTCTCCGCATCCAGATCCAGTGGCCTCTGGCCCATAAGATAACCTGTCCCAGCGACGGAAAACGCGGGTATAATGGGGAAAAAAAATAACCCTCGACGGTACAGGGCCCACGCACGAGCTTCCTGCGTGCTTGCCCTCCCTCTGCAGCCCCTCACGGGGCGGCGGGGGCGCAGGGCGGGGAGAGGCGGCCCCCGTCTGCAGCACCGTGTGGCCCACTGGACCTCGGGAAGGACGACGTGGACCCCGGGGTGGCCGAGCACGGGCGCAGCCGCTCACCGAGGACGAGGACCCCGGCAACCCGCGCGTCTCTGTTTAGTTATTACTCGAGACCATGAAATGGGGGCAACAAGGGTCACCTCGCCTAGGGGCGAGGGGAGAACGCGCAAGTGAAGAAAGGCCAAGAAGAGTGCCCAGCACTCACACAAGCAACACATGGCTGGCTGTCGGCCGGCAGTGCCCCCAGGACCGAGCCAACTCTACTCGCGACCCCCGCATTCCAGGTGTGCCTGCCACCAAACACGGGCCCAGCGCAAGGGCGGCCTGCTGGAGGGGGGCGGGGTCATCGTGGGGGCGTGGCGAGTCACAGCTGCACGGTGCACGGTCACCTGCAAGGTCACGTGGTGTGCTCGAGTGTGACAGCATCACGCTGCGGAACGACATGCTCGCGACTCTGTAATAAAAGACTGCAATAAACTGGGGCGAGAAGTGTGCCGGGCCCCGTACACAAAGCCAAGAACTCCAAGCCATAGAGGCGGACTCTGGGTAACTGGTGTGACTCTAACCGATGGTTTTCCGAGGAGTTACCGCTGCAGGAGAACCCACTCCCGAGACACGCCCACCCACACACCGGGCGGAGCGCCCGGTTCCCACGGAGGAGCAGACGGTGCCAGAGCACCAGCCGGCCCTCAGCCGACACCCGCGTCCAGGAAGGCCCCGCGCCCCTGGACCCTGCGCGTTCCCAACTCCTCAGGCCGGCGGTCCTTCTGGAGAGGCCCGTGTGAGGCCCACAGCGCAGCGACCGGCCAGGCAGCCCGGCAGACCCCGACACACCGAGTGGCAAGGTCGCTCTTCCCACCTGCGGGCCAGGGAATGGCCCCGTAAGAAAAACAATGTCCAAACAGCCCTCCTCTCGGAAGAATGCGGAAACCTCCAACAGCCTAAATGCATTAGGCGACACCCAAAGGCAATGATGAGCTTTCTCAGTTCCTAAACACAGACGCGCGGGCGAGGAAGGGCGTGGGCGAGCGGCCCACACGAGCCCGCTGCAGGGGACCACGGCCACAGACAGCTCCTCCGGGAGCGCCCGCTGCAGGGGCCCCAGCCCACTGAGAGCGCCCGCGGGGCCGTGGCGGCTGCAGAGGACACACCTGTCGTCACCGCGGCTCACAGGCCGAGACTCCACACACACACACACACACACACACACACGGCACAGGAGAAACAACCCCCAAAGGTCGCTCCGTTGTGTGGAGTCCGGCTCGTGCCTGCAGGTCACGCTTTCCCTCACGGTCAGTGGTAAGAGACGAGAGACACACAGTCTCGTGACGCTCACTGAGAAAAGACGCGAGCCTCCCGGCTGTCGTTCAAGGAGGACGGGTTCTTTCTCTGAGAGGCAAGTCTGACCTCCCGTCAGCCCCATCCCTCCCCGCCGACAGCACGGGGGGGCGCTCCGACCGCGCAGACGCCAGACGGACCCCCGGCGCAGCCCACGGGGTCTCGAACTCGCGGCGGGCCTGGGAGAGCGCGGGCTGTCCCGCTCAGACCTGGCTCCACTGACCGAAGGCCAAGGGAAGCTGGGCAGCGACTTCTCCCACCGGAGAGCAGCAAATAAATGCGGGAATCCACCCGGCCCGCACAAACCGTATCGCCAGACGAACGGCCCGGTGATGAAGGAGTCCTACTTGGGAAGGTTTCCCGAGAACGGACCGCCTCGCAGGGACCGTGCGGGCAGGGGGCAGGGGGCAGGGAAGGGAACACAGCCTCCGCAGGCCCCGTGAGAGCACCGAGGCGGCGCCCACCGGCGGCGCGGCAACGCCAGCAGGAAGACGACGGAGTGGAGAAGCAGCACACGCGGGGGAGGGCGGGATCGGCCGCAAGCACCGGGAGAGCCCGCGGCGGCGCGGAGAGCGGTGCGGCGCGCTCCCTGCTGTGCGGCAGCGGCACGGGGCGGGACAGGGCCTGCGCGGACCGGCCCGCGGAGCTCACCCCTGGCTCCTGAGGAGGAGGACGCAGCAGACGGAGAACTGACCGGGGTGAAGCACAGGAGAAACCACCCCGGGGCCCGGGGACGGCGGAGGGCCAGGACCCGCACGAGGCCGTGTTCGGGAGACGGCCAGCCAGAGGCCACGCGGGGCGCTGGGGGGGTCCTGTCCTGAACACACCAACCGCTGGGCACGCCCTGAGACGACCGGCCAACCTCGACGACAGACGGGGCATCCGGCGCCATTAACAAACGGCCGCCCGGTCGGTGACCGTGGCAACGTTTGAGGGACCGTGACGTGATGTCCGGATCTGCCTCGGAACACACCGGAAGGCAGAGCAGGGGAAACGAGCGTGGAAACCACTGCCTGGACGCCGGGCCCGTGGGGCTGGCTCCCGGCGCCAACGCACGCGGCCGAGCGCCTCCGCGACGCGGTCTTCAGCGGCCCCTGCGACAGCCTGTCCCGGAGCAACAAGGACAACGCGGCTTTCAGAAACCCCTGAGCAAGCTGTGGAAGTGTTTACTACACTCAAAGTGTTTCTGCTCATTTTAAAAACCAGTTGCCTGGCCGACTCTGGCCACGACCAACACGGATTCGCCCGCGATGCGCCAGGAAAGGCCCCGAAACGCCGCCCGAGGGCTGTGTGTCTCCGTGAGAGCCCCGACGACTCAGAAACTGGAAGCCCGAGTCCAAAGCATGACGCGCCTCCGTCCAGGGCAGCGACCCGCCCGCCCCCACCCCGCTCACCGCAGTGAGACCCCCCTCGCGGCCTCAGGGAACACGGACGCCTGGGACCCACGCGGACGCGCCCCAGGCAGGGCAGGGCCTGGTGCCCGGACAGACGCGCAGCGCGGCTGGTCCAGGAAGCGCAGCCCGTGAGGACGGCGTGTGTGCCTTCCTGAAGGAGCGCCGGCCGGCCGGTCTGCCCCCCGAGTACCGGTCACTCCGCGCGGGCAGGGCTCCTGGGAGAAGGCTGCTCTGCTTCTCTGTTGAGACCACGTCATGGGAGTGGGCAACTGCTACTTTATTCAACTCAAAATACAAAGGAAGCTCTAAAGTAAGTATTCTTTGTACACGTTACCTGCCCTAAAATTTGCTTTTGACTTGTTTATCTGCCCTAATTTTTAAAGTGGAGACAACATGACCATGAAAAATTGCCTCTGGCCATTTTTCTAAAACGGAACCTGCCCCTTGATGAACTCGCCACACCCCTAAACACGATAAAACGCTCGCTATAGCGACGTCTCACTTCCCAGCCCCCCGGGCGCCTGAGCGCCCCGGGACCGGAAGCAGACCGCCGAGCCGACCCGCCACTTCGGTGTCCGCGCACTCGGACGTCGGCCTCCCAACCTCACAGAGAGCACCCGGTGTCCCTACTTCAGGGAGTCCTATTTTCTGAGACACTGTATTCCTTAGCAGTAAAAGAAAGCAGAAGAGCCAGGTATAAACACTGGTTTTTAAGAATTACTGTGTAAAATAAATTAATTAAAATTCGCAATACGGATTCCAAAGTAATTAAATTCCGTCATGTAGAAGGTAAAGGGAAGCCTCCTAGACATTTAGCAGAAAAGAATTATCACCTGCTACGTGTGTTCTTGCAGAATAGCTGAAATAAAAAGACGCCTATCCATTTCTGCATCTAAACAAGTGCGGCGTGGGGAGGACGGCAGGAAACGGATCTGACCGACACTGCCTTCCGGAAGGCGAGCCCTCGCCAGCGCAGCGCTGGGTGTGCAAAGGACACTTCCACCAGCGAAACACTGCGCGGTGCCTGGTCAAGGCCGCGACACCCACCGGATGTGCAGAGGAAAGGGGAAGTTACCTTAACGTCCTGTAAGTGGTCATCTGAAGATAACCTTACACGTGTCAAAAATTAAGAGTTACTCACATACATCGCATTTCGTCTTACGTTATAACTTCATTCATTTTACTTGTAACAAAATAACATTGTCCCTTATCTTCTCCGTGTGGACTCCATCAACTATTAATTGCAGGTTTTTGCCTTGTGTTTCTTAGATGCGTCAAAGCCATTGTAGAACAAGGTGAAAAATACATTAAGACAAAAACCAAATAAATCCCCAAATTGAACAGAAAATTCTTTCCAGTTTAAATTGCAGTTTTTCAGGAGGGGGTGGACCCTGCCCCCCTCCGTTCCATGCTGGGTCCTCACCTCACTGCTGCCGAGGTGCTGTGCTGCGCTGCACTGCGGAGGACACGCAGGTCAGCCCCGGGGACCCGGGGACCACGCAGAATGTGCCCGGGGACCTGGGCCTGCACTCGGTCCCGGGCAGCCGACACCCACGTGAAAGTGCACACACGTCACTCAGAACTGAGCGGCACCTCCCCCTCACCGAGTCTCCCCCGAGAAGCGTCCAACGCAGCCCACGTGCGTACACCCCGGAGCAGGGCTCCCCGTACTTACTGGAGCCCGGCGGGCGGGAGAGAGGGGTACAGACAACGGCATCATACCTAAGAGGGACGTCTCCTTGGCAAACGCCGCGGCGATGGCGGGGTCCAGCGCGGGCTGTCCGTCTCCCGACGGGAGGTCCGGTCGGGTGTAATCCCGACTTTTATCATTGTTGTATTTCACATTCAAATTCACAAGCTTGGAAAAGTCAATCCTCAGAGTACAGCAAGCGTTGTAAATATTCTGACCATCCAGGGCCTGCAAGAGCCAACAGAGGACACGAGTGACGATAAGGAGCAAAGGTCGGCCAGCATCACGGCGCCGACGACACGGCCCCATGGCGAGGACCCCCGAGGCGCCGGGCGAGGTCTCGCACCCTCCCTCCTCCCTCTCCCTCTCCCACGGGCCTGGCCGGGCAGGGGCCGGCTCTCCCCGCACCATCTCCTCAGAGCAGGGAGAGCCGCGCATGCCTGGCCACAGCCAGCACACGCACACGCAGCTTAAAAATCCTTTCGTGGAGGAGGGCAGGGGTGGCAGGAGCTGTGCTGACAGGGTCAGCCCGGGGCCCACGGCTCACCAGGCACCGGAGGCCCGAGCGACACCAGCCCTGTCCGAGGCACACGGGCAGGACGGGGCAGTGGGAAGGGGAGATCCCCGGGCAGAGGCGGGGCCTGGACAGGGAAGAAACAGTCCACAGAGGTGGGCTCTCCGGGGGTGGGCAGCGAGGGTCGGCGATGCTGCCCGGTCCCTGGTGAGGCCGAGTGCCTGGTGGGGCGACGGCCGAGCGAGGCGGCGGGGCTGAGAAGTGTGAACAGGGAGCAGAGCGTATCTTTGAGAAGCCGGGTGGTAAGCCCGCGGGGAGGGGACAGGGCGCGGGGAGGGGACAGGGCGCGGGGAGGGAGGCGGACAGTCACGGTAGCTCATTCGCACGGAGAGGCTCAGGCTCGCTCGGGACGGCGGTGAGCAGCAGCCAGCACAGAGAGAAACGTGAGGCCGACTCCCGTCGGGACGAAATTGAAACAAAGAGTGAGGGGGAAGAGGGGCCAGAGCCGGGTGGGGGGGAGCGCGGGCTGGCCCGGGGCGGGAGGAGGCACGCAGACAGACGGCAGGGCGTGGGGAAACGTGCGGGCGGCTCCCAGTGGCCTCTGCCCTCCTCCGCACACGCGGGTCGGTGCCGTGGGCCTGAAGGACGGTAGGCTGACGGGGAACCTCTGCGGGGAACGTGCCCTCTGGAGGCAAAGCCCGAGCCCAGGCGTGCGCCCACACCACCACCCAGCACTGCTCCCCCGAAAGCAAAGCCTGCGCGAGACTGCGGAAACCACGCGGGCCCGTGGACAGCTGCAGGTAGGGCCATCCTTGAAAATGAACGTCTCCGTCCGCCGCCAACACTGCGCTTTCCAACAGCATCCCAGCAGCGCCCACCTGGGACGCCACGTGCTCAGGTGCGTGGCTACTAGTGACAGTAATGACAACAGCAACAGGAACTGTGTGTGCATCGGCCCACAGAAACAGCAGCCTATTTCAGAAAAAGCTCTAGACTCACGAGTTTTGCTTGCTGCGCGTTCACTGGATCGCCGTACTGGAGGAGAGCTTGGAACTGGTTGTTCTTCGTGAACGTGATGATCTTCAGCACCGCACCGAACTTAGTGAATATCTGGGGAAACGCGAGAACGAACACGTCACCGCCACGCGGCCACGCCCCTGCCGCACCGGCTCGCCCGCGAACGCGGCCGCCGCACCTGGTGGAGGACGTCCAGGGTCACGGGGTAGTACATGTTGTCGATGATGATCCGGAGCACGGGGCTCTGGGCGGGCGTCACTGCGCTCTCGCTGACGGCGGTGCCGCTGAGCGGCGTGTTGGCCGTCTGCACGGCGGTCACAGCCTGGAGCACGGCCTGGGCGCGCTGCAGGGAGAGAGCAGCGCCTCAGAAGCACAGCCGGGCCCCCGCTCACGCCCTGCTGCACGCTACACACCATGAGCTCGTCCTCTTCCAAAACGCACGCAATAAAGTGCAACGTTCACATAGTCCTTCTGAGCCAGGCACTGTCTGCTTACAATTCAAATATTCTAGCATTTACTGCAGAACAGTCGCCTAGGGTGGGACCAGCCCTGAGCAAGCGGAGAGGCAATGTGGTTGATTACCGTTGAGATGCAACCACGTTTTCTGATAACGCAGCAGAAATATAACCAGAGAACGTTTTAAGCAGAAGTTGAGAGAGAACAATAAAACTTCAACCTCTATAAAAAAGGCAAATGCTAAACCTCAAGAAGGGGGTTACTCTATTATCTAAAAGATCTCCCATAAATCGTATTACTTCTAATACTACCTTAAAACACTATTCACAATACAATTTAAGTCTTTTTTCATACGGGTGTAACTTCTGACACCAAAACTTCTGGAAGAACAGCTGACGCACACTCTAGCGAAAAGCCACTGCACTGCCGGGAACACGTCCGTCGAGACACTCAGAGCATGAAGACGCTTCCCACACGGGCCGCGGCGCCCGGCGCACAGCGGGAGGCCCGGCGCACCCCTAGTGTATGTGCGAGAGGCCAGACACTGCGAGCACACTCGGACATCCGGCACGGTCACACACACTGGCTTCTGGGATCGTGGAGCGTGACAAAGTACGCATGCAGGACCGAGGAAGCACGGTACTTTTTCAGAAACCTATCGGCTAAATCGTGGGCTAACTGCTCCAAAATGCCTGCCTCTGCCACCACGGCTGCGCTGTTCCTGTCACCACGGTGACAGACCCCCTGGGAAGAGAAGCTTCCTTCCACCTCAGCTGGGGTCAAAAGTCATTACGGAAGGAGTAACTGTGACGTGTGACCATGACAAATACGTCCACATCACTTTCAAGTTTAAAAAAGCTGCACCGGCCGCCGCCTAGCACTCCCGACCCAGCGCTGCCGTGTGCGGACAGGAAAGGGGCACGACAGCAGCAGGACGCTCGGGCGACCGGTGGGACCGGCGCCAGCAGCACAGACGCTGCAATGACGAGAGGCCAGCGACAGGCAGATCTGTCCAGCGTCACCCTTCTGCGGGCTGTCAGCTGACAGACACCCTGGTGACCACCGTGCATCGGATCAGCAGGTGGTGCACGGTCAACTTACACCGTGTCCGTGTCAACCATCACATGGTGACCTCAGTGGGGAGACGGCCATTCCACTGACACACTGTGTGATCAGGGAGCCCCGAGGGCTGGTTAGAGCGCCGCCCAGACACGCCCAGGCTGCGGGCCTGACGCCGGGACCGGGCACGCGCTGCTGGCAGAAGCCCCGAAGAACGCGCAAGTCAGCGGAACGACAGGCCCACGTTCTCTCCCGCCCTCTCTAAAATCAACACACACACTCAAACGCCCGACCTACAGATCTGCTCTACTGTTGAACTAAATCGTGCAGCATGAATTTAAAATACGAAGAAACCACACATACTTTTGTAAATAAACATAACATTGGACACTTAAGGATCTACTGCAAGAAAATGTCTTAAAAATTACAAGATAAGGCCCACAGACACGCCTCAGCGTGACTAAGTCTCATCTTCTGTTCAGGCAGCTCTGAGAGCCCCGCTGCACCGCGGGCCACGTCACGCGTGTCCCCGTGCACACTCACCTGGTTCAGAGTGTTATCTGTCTTCAGCTCCTTGTGATTGGAGTACTGTATGTAAATCGGTTGGTTACGAAGATGAGGGGTCACGGCAGAATAGTAGTTAACCATGGTAATAGCTGCCTCCTCCGTTGCTAGTTCCAAAAATGCCTAAAATCACAAATGCAGAACAGATGTAATGGTGTCACGAATGGAGTTCAGACGAGCTTCAGTATCTGCCTCACCTGCTCCGCGAACCAGAAACGCCAGAAACGCCAACATCCAGGACGCGCTCAGCCCGGAGTCGCCCAGCGGCTCAGCTTCGCAGCGCCGCAAAGCCCTCACCCAAGGCCGGGCGCCCCCAGGAGCCAGCCTCTGTGCGCACGGGGCCTGCACCCCCCGCTTCCCACACACCACGAGTGGGCCCCCCGGCCAAGCACGGAGGACCAAGAATCTAAACGGGCTGCACCCCCAGACCCCCCACTCCCAGCCCAGAGAACAGCAGAAGCCTCACAACGCCACTGTCAGAGCAGCCCACTTGGACAGACGAGGGGACAGCGTCCGACGTGCCAGGTCCCGGTGACTAAGACTCGGAAGAACGGCCCCCTCCGTGCGCTCTCGCCCGGACGGACCGGAGTTTTGGAACGGGACCTGACTCCCGCGTGCCTAGACTGGGCAGCGACGGGCGTCCAGGGTCACTGCTTTCTCCTTATGCCACCGAGCATTTCCACGGAAGACACTCAAAGCCAAGACACCACCGGTGCCCCGACCGACTTCCGACCTCACAGAGGGCAGAGCCACAGGAAAAGGAACGCAGCACTCGTTTGCATGTTTCCACGGTCTCACTGAGACCGGGCCTGACTGGAGTCCCCGAGTGAACGCGAAAGGCACAACCTGGAAACCACAGCCCGCCTCCGTCCGCTCCCGGCAGCGGTCCCCTGGACGCCCCTCCGCCCACCAGCACAGCCAGACCTCCGCCCGCTACATTTGACACTTAGGGGTCTACTAAGCAGGGATCTACTTCCTTCCAGGGAGTCCCTCCCCGCTGCCCGCCCTGCTGTCACCAGGAGGCGCGGACTCACACCCGCGCGCAGTCGGGGGCCCGACGCCCTGTAGTCCCGAGAGCACCTTACCTGATTCTTCCCTTTCAGCATGAGGATGTTGGTCACCTTTCCGAAAGGCAAGCCCAAAGCGATCACCTCCGTCTCCGTCACCTCACCCGGCAGTTTCCGAATGTGAAGAACACGAGAAGGAGCTCCATCCATTTTATCTTCCCCTTTAAACTTTTTACTGTCATTGCCGTTGGCTGAAAGGCATGAGTGGACAGTCTTTGCTGTATTAATTTTCTTTGTCTCGGTTACAAAATACAGAACAATGTTTATGAAAGAACTCACACACACAGCTGAGTAATACTGGAATAATTCCTAAAAATTCAGAAACTGTGGTTACAAAGAAAGAAAGACAACCCTATCCGCCAATTAATTACCATCACTTTTGGGTGCGTGTTTCTGGACAGTGTATGTACAAAGTAGTCAGTGATGAAGCAAAAACATGAAAATGTGACTTCATAAAGAAACTGTCCAGTAGCTAAAGAACACAATTATCCTGCAATTTAATCATATTACAGACTAACAAAATCTTTTTAAAATGTAAAACATCGAGGGAGCAGATACTGGGGAGATTATCATCTGACCTAGGAAATTCTGAATTGTTCAGTTTGGGAAACACCGTACTCAAACCTGGGACCGGAGAGCACGATGCTGTAGCAGTGACCACACAGTCCACCGGCGAGCGCTGCCCTACGACGGTCCCCCCCGCCCCCCCAACTCGCACCGCCGCCCCGTCTACCCGGACTCCTCACGGCCGCCCGAGACGGCCGCTGGGCTCGGCGGGCTCCGTCACCCTGAGCCTCACGGTAACCACAGGCCCCTTGCACGCCGAGAAACGTGCACATGCACACACCCTACGGGGTCGGCAACGCTCCACCCAAGGTCGTCTCACGCTGAGCGTCCTCCAGGTCCACGCACAGGCCGGTGGCGGACGTGGTGCCAAGTGTGAGGGACGCGTGTGGCCCTGGTTCGGGCACAGCAGCGCACGAGACCACGAGGCGGACGCCCCAGCCCCAGGGGAGAGGCCGGCGTGACGCGGCAGAGGACCCGAGGGGGCGGTGTGCCCGCGGCCTGACCGGACGGTCAGGGGGGGCATCTCTGAGAGGTGACCTGGGCACTCACTTGGTGATTTATTTGCCAAAGTACAGTGTCAGGTGGTGTCTCACTCTCAGAGTCTCACTGCAGCTCACACGCAGCCAGCCAGCCAGCACTTTCCAAACCCCTTGGGCAGGCTCAGTTCGGAGGAGAGAAGGCAGGGCCCGGAACGGGGCCCTGAACGGGCAACTCCGGGCGGGCACACCCGCCGCTCCCTTCGCGCTCGGACCTGTGCACGCCCCGCCCCCGAGCTCCTTGGGAAGAGGGGGCGGGTCTTTCCATCTCGTAGCTTCTCACCTAACAAAATCGCCAGCAGCCTGTTCACTGAAAATGTAAATGAAGCAAAAGATCAAACAACGACGCCCTGAAACACGGAACCGGCAGGGGAAGTAGATTCTCCGCGTCTGAGCCCCTTTCTCGTCGGGGCGGCTGGCGTCCGGCCCGCCGGCTGCCTCTCGCTCGCCCGCTCGTTGGCGTGAAAGGACGAGCCCTCACAGTCCGACCCGGGCCCCAGGGCTGCGGGCTCTGGTCGTCAGAGAACTCAGACCAGCACTGTTCAGCTTTCCTACTTAACCTGCCCCTTCCTTCTGGCAAAGGGCAGGCAAAGAACTCCACAGTAAAGATACTATCAACTCTGCACTTACGGGGGAAATGACCTTCCCTTTTCAAACGATTTTTAGAGTATGATCGCCAAAGGCAAAAGGCCACCCAACCCTGGCAGGAGAAGAGACTAGTTCGCATCGATGTTCAACGCCCGCTCCGAGCTGCCCCCGTGCCAGCACTGTCGGCTCGCTGCAAGAATGCTCTGACCCTGACCCGCTGATGCCGCTCGCAGGGAAGCGCTAGTTAATGAGCTCTTCGGGGTCAGCAAGCCCCTAAGTGGTGAGGACGGGAAGAGGTCGAAAAAGGATGAACACAGGGAGCGGTTCCCCCCTAGGGCCAGGGCCCCTCGGGCGCGGCACCGCAGCAGGCTCCAGACGGCTCGCACGGCACCCCGGGGCCGCAGAGCCCCGGCCAGGCTGCGGACTGCCCCGCGGCCCCTTCGCTTCCGGTCCCCAGGCAAACCCAGAAGCTTTGGTTTGGGCGTGCCACACCGTAACTAGACAGTTTTTAAGAGTTTACGTAACAACAGATGTAGTAATGCTTTTGCTTACGTGTGCTGCCTACATATTGCAGAAATCTCCAGGAAACCATTTTCCATGCATTACTCAGCCTCCTTGAAGCCTTTGGCTTAGGAAGGACAGTCTGCTCCTAAGTCCAAAACAAACGGAGCGTAGAAAGTGCTTCTACGTGAACACTTCCCTTGCCCACTCAGACGCCGCGTTCTGCCTCATTCTGAAGCGAGTGAGCGCACGCACTCACCGCCGGTCCCAGCCCGGCTCTCCCGGGACCCCCGGACCCGCACCAGCCTTGCAGCACAGTGCTCACACGGGGGTCTCACCGAGGCCGGGGGGCTTGTTCGGCGAGCCCCCCCACCTCACCAAGCCTCTCTGCTCTCGCAGCGCCTCCCACGCCCCCTGAGCCGTCCTGCCCCCGATCCACCGGAGGCCCGCTCTGAACCCTCTGCTGACGCACAACGGCCCCAGACGGCTGGGCTCCCTGAGCGGCCTTGGTCCCGAGCTCCTCCTGCCTGAGCTCCCTCATGCAGACACTGCAGCACCTTCTCATTTAACCTGCAAACGCGTGACTTTAGTCCCCACTCAGCCACCAATCTGCTTTCAACGGCATGCCGACCCACTAGGTCCCGTTCAGAAGGGTCACACTACATCTGTCTGTGGGAAGCAGACGACTTAACGAGACCCAAGGTCACGTCCGTTCTGCACACCCTTTACACACACGAACACGCCGGCAACCTCCTGCACCAAGCACGACCGTGAGAGGCCAAGTGGCTTCGTTCCAGGCGGTCTCGGACCCCAGGGTGACGCCCAGCGAGCGTCACGGAACTGGCTTTAAAGAAACACGCTGAGCTGAGGAACGTGAGCACTCACACTCTTTGCACTCCTGCATGGGAAAACAGAAGTTTCAGAGAGCCATGGAGAAACCCAGGAATCCAGAGACGGCACCTCTGCCCCGCTGCCCGCGCCCAGTGGACTCCACACGCAGGGGACACGGCTCACAGTAAACCCGGCTGCAGCTCCGCGCATCCTGACTGCCGGGCGCTGCCGCACGGGCTGGACGGAACAGCATCTCCGTCCGAGGAAGGCTCTCGTTACCTCTGTGCGCACGAGGACCTGTGGCCAGAGCCCCCCCAAGATGTTCAAACTGGAGCGAGGCTCTGGAGCATCTCAAAGCACCACAGCGAAACGGAAGGACCCCGTGCCGGAACTGTCCACATGGAGACATTCAAGGGACAACCTCGGAGTTCGGAGTAGCATGGACCAGAAGGTATGGGACGATTTCAGTTTTTCAGTAAGGCAAAACGCCCCACTCCAGCGGTAACAAATCCTGCTGTCACAGAACAACAGGGGCGGGGGCACTGGCAGAAACATGCATGCCCACCGTGAGGCGACGTCCCACTCCCACAGCTCCAGAGGAGGACTCGGGAGACCACACCTGAGCCTGCGCCCCACTGCCCGAGAGTCACAGACTGGATTTCAGCAAAATCCAACCCCAGTGCCAGCTGGAGCTAGCTGCATTTTGAAATGTCTGTCTTTTATTTCTGAAGAAGGAATAATTTATTACAAAATTAGTATTAATGTACTGAATTATCAGATATTTACCCAAGACAAAGTTTTTAGTAACACTAACTTTTCTCACTTCTAAAATCAGTTTTTCCTCAAATGAAACAACGGGTAGCAAACAGACTTCCGGACGGTGGACGGGGAAAGGCTGTCGAGACGGATGCCCCCGGAAACAGGCGTCTAGTTAGGCCAACCAGAAGAACCAGTCTGGGTGCGGCTGGGATGCAAGAATGAGAGCCTGATCTGTGTCTGCTAGCCGTACCAGCGTCCTTGTAATAGTGCCTGCAGAAGTCCTGTTCTGAGACACCTGAACAACAAGAGTATAATTTTCCAACCACTAGGCAAGCACAACCACTAGCTTTCAATGGTTTTGTTATGTTCCCATAAGCAGCAGTATTCAAACTGGGTCCTGCTGGAACACATACAGACTCCTCACCTCTCTGTGTCATAAAAAAACATTACCACTCGACACTTCCCCTGTGCACATGAGGGTGAAACAAGTTGAGTGCATGTACGCTTCTCACATTAAAACGAGACTTCAAGGAAGACTTCCTCTCCATCCCCACAAAGAGAATGGACTCCTTCTTCGGTCACCCAGTAAGTGCATTAACTACCATTCCTAAAGATACTTCTAAAAAGCAATGCAGTAACCGATTATTCTTTCTTTTTAACAAAAGAAATCTCCATTTCCACCTCCTCCTTTGTTAATGGAACCGTATCATCCATCAAACCAGTGATCCTAACAAAGCCCCCAGCATTCCTCCCAAACCAGTCTACTTCCGAGCAGCTCAGACGTCCTGATTTCTGGCTACGTCGCTTCCTCCCAGTTCTGAGACCCTGGAACTCAGGGCGTGATACCTCTCTCAGTGGTATCCCCTCCCACCCCTAGAAAACACAGATGCAACGAAAATCTTTTCTGAAATGGGAATCTGGCCAAGGCCAGACTCCTGAGCATGACGAGTCAAATCCTGTGTCTAGACCACGCCCACGGGCCCCACCTCCAGTCACCGCCCTCCGCGTATCTCACACGCCAGCGCTCTGCGACGTCACACAGCCGCTTGTTTCATCAGCACAGCTCTGCTGACTGACGTGGAGCACGTCCGCCCCCCCGGAACGCCCCACCGTCCTCCTTTCGGGCACCTCTGCACCCACCGGCGACCGCAGTCTGGGTGTCCCCAGCAGAAACCACCGGCTCTCTACCTCCGCAGGGACAGGACCCCGAGACGGGCACCCTCTGGGCCTGCCCGGCCTCCCGGGCTTCCACGTGCCCCTGAGGCCCACCCCCGAGGCTGCTTTCCAGCCTCGGGGGGCAGCTGCAGTGGCCCCGCACCCTTGCCCACAGCGGGGGGCCCTGGCTCGGCTCCAGCTGGACTCGGGCTGGCCCGCAGCGGCGTCTCGGTGGCTGGAACGCGTGTGTCCCTGACGGCCGGCTGTCCTTCCACGTGCTGGCCGGCCGGCCGGCCCCACGCCTTCCACTGTCTGTGTCCGATGGCCCGGCTGCTCCGACCGACCGACGTGCAAGCCCTCTCCGCACACCGGGAGGGGCACCGGCCCTGCGCCTGACCAGCGTCGCCCCGGCCCGGCCTGCGCCCGGCCCGCCCTGCGCCCGGCTTTCCCACGGCCTCGCCAGGCCCTCTGGAGAGGAGCCCTTCATTCAGACGGTCTGTGCACAGCTGGTGGTCTTGAGTGTGTCTTCTCTGAAGGAACCTTCATCCGCCCCAAGGCTGTGAATCTATCCCATGACTTCTTTTTCTTCGTGGCTTCGTACATTTAGTTGTGGGGGTTACAGGTACGTATTCCATCTCATTTTTTGGTGCGCTGTGTGGAAGGCTTGAGTTTCTTACTTTTTCACGCGTGTATTGAACTGTTCTAATGCCACTTACTAAAAGACTCCTCCTTCCCATTTTGTGACCAAAGCACTGTTCTCAGATTGGCTGTGGCTGTTCTGGGCCTTTCCTCTACGTCCACATGCGCGTCAGAATCAAACTCTCAATCCCAGTTCGGAAGCCGGTCCGGCTCGACTGAACGATGGAGACGCGAGTCCGCCCCAGTCTGGGGAGACACGGCGGTCTCAGCACAGCGAGCCCTTCCGTTCGTGGGCACGTGTGCCCATCCGTCTTCCAGGCCTCACCGCAGCGTCCCTCAGTTACTGGTGCACGTGCCGTGCACACACTTGGTTCAATGTATTGCTTGAATCGTGGAGTCTCTGTAAATGGGTGTTTAAGTTTCACTTTCCAATACTTTGCTAATAACATCAGGAAAACTTTTGTGTATTGAACATGTACCCTGTAACTATTCTAAATTCACTTACTCATTCTACCGTTCTGTAAATCCCTTTGATTTCCTATTTTAAAAACTATGTTGATCATGAAAGATAGTTTTACTTCCTCCCTTCTGATCTTTATGTTTTTTATTGTTCCTCCCTTAATATAAGCAAAAAGCTAAAAGAAAGTTGTGAAAACAAACGCCCTTACTCCATTCCCCTTCCTGCTGCAGGAGCAGCCGGTCGGCAGTGTGTCCGCCCTCGGAGTGGAGTTGGCCGTGGGCTCGAGGTGGACCTCCCCGACCTGTGCGCCTTTCTCTCGCTGGTTTTCCGAGATCTCCACCATGAGCAGATGTTGTGTTTCTGTCCATTTTTCCACCCTTTATCCTATTGTTGTGATAAATAGTTCCCTTTCGAACGCTAACTCGCACAGCCCTGGGGCGGACCTCAGCCAGCCATTGAAGTGCCTGCTCTAGAACGTTCCGTGTGACCGGCTCACCCTCCTGACGGAGGTCTGCACCGACGGTCACGAAACCACGAGCACGCGAGCGTGACTTCCTGTCCGTCCCGTGCTGCCCCTCACAGGGGCTTCGAGAGTTAGTCAGGGGCACAGGACCCCTCCTCCATTTTCTGAGAGAGTCTATTCAAGGTCCTGATCATGTCTTACCGCAAAGGTTCATAAAAACTCAACAGCGAAACCACCTACGCCTCTGTGGAAACATTTATCAAACCTCCCTGTGTGGCGGACACGGAGCTGACCTGCATCTGCACGGGATGACTGGGCGTGCTGGTCTGGGAAACGGACTTGTACAGGGACCTGTCTGCTCATCCCATCGGTTCAGTCTGTTGGCATCACCACTGCTGACAGTATCGCCTTGCTCCCCTCCTGCACGCTGTGGAGTCTGCAGCGACATCTCCACGTTCATCCCCAATACTGACAACTTACGTTTCACTTATTTTCTTAATATTCACACTTTCCTCCTCTCTAGTATGGGTGTTTTCTAATATAAGGAGATAGGTTACCAATTACAGGTACAGACCTGTTTTTCCCCCATGCACTTCTTGGGCTGCATCCAGTGAATTTTGGTATTTTGATACTCACTTTAATTCAGTCAGAAATACGCCTTTAAATCTTCTTTGATTCAAGTGTCACTCAGAGTCGCATAGTTCAACTTTTAAATATCGGGTAGTTCCCTAGCTGTCTTCCTGTTTTTAATTTCTATCAAGTTCCACTATTAGATGGTACACGAGCGTCCAGCCACCGGACACTCACTGGGCGTCACCGCAGGTCCCCACCTCGGCCTACCGTGGCGAGCCTCCCCTGTGGACCTGAAAGCACACGCCACGCGCACACACTCGGCTCTGCGTCCCCAGGACCAGGACGGCACTGGGCGGGCACTTGTTCTCCCCGGGACTGGCCGAGCCACCGGAACCACACCGGGGCCAGTCCCAGGTCCACGGCCGGCCAGCCTCAGGACAGGGGGCTCGGACCGGAGCCCGAGACGAAACGAGCACGGCAGTGGGGGCTCACGGAGTCTCTGCCGACGGAGGCCTCGGCCTCACCCGCGCCCGGTGAGGACGCCGCGCCCCTGCAGCCTGGCGGAGCGGCGCCCAGAACACCGCGCCCGCGTCTGTATGCCAGCGGCGGATGGGGACGTCTCTGCGCCCCCGGGTTTCCACAGTCCTCCCACTGCCCGGCCCACTGGTTCCTCGGGCAAGTAACTCAGGAAAGATGTGCAGAAAGGAACTTCGGTTTTCAGTAAAAAAGATGTAAAATGTGGGGTTACAAGGCACACCAAATCAGTCACCATCACCACCAGATCAAAATTTTGGTCAGCCCTAAAATTAAGGTTTAAAAATGAGTCTGTGTTCGTTTACAGATATAACCACCAACATTCTTTCAGACATATACAATCTTTTAAATAAAAGTCCCTAACTGTGAAGATTAAGCAAGTCATCTTAAATTCCCAAGTAGATAACAAAAAAATTAATTCAAAGAAGTGAAATACTGTTAGAGCAAAGAAAACAGGTTGAAAGCATAGAATAAAGACAACCATGTAGTTGAAATTCCAGGTTTTACTTACGGCTTGGGCTTCAGGTTTTTTGGACTAGAGAATTAAAAGTGTTTCATGACACAAAAACGCGGAAGCGGGAAACGAGCACTGAAAGCGTGCGAGTGGGGACGTGTAACGTGAAAGGAAGCAGGCTGTCTGTCTGTGACCTACGTGCAGTGAGTCGCCTGCCCGCAAGCCAGCACCTGCGCGTCCTTTCCCTCGACACATGCACGCTCTAGCCAAAGCTCCTTAGTGAAAACGTGTCAACAGCAGGCTTTCACACTGGAGGCTGTCCTGGGGAAGCAGACCACGCCTCAGCCTCGGCACCTGCCCCACACAACGACAGACGGTCAGAGAGTCGCACTTACCTGTCACCACCATGCTGCTCATGTTCGAACTGGGACTACTGAGGACACTACCTGAGAGCAGTTCGTCAGATCCTCTCTACAAAAACAAAAACCAACATGAGACATCTGCAGGCTTAAACACGTTAACCCGAGCGTCTGTCCCTCCGCGGTGAACTCTCACACAGGCACCGACAAAGTGTCAGGTGTCCCCCCCCCGAGAATGGGGGACACTGTGACCCCCCAGCACCGATGGGACTCGGTGTGGCTGCGCCCCTGCCCACGAGGCCGGCAGTCCCCCCTCCCTCCGTCCCGGGCGGAAGACAGTGTAGCGGCTTCCGCAGCGGAAGCCCCGGAAACCGGCCTCGGCTCTTTGCACTCCATCTGCGGCCGCCGCCAGCGGGACCTAAGCACATGCCACGGCCCGCCGACCCCACGGCCCTCGGGGCGCCGCAGGACGCTGGGGTTGGGAGGAAGAGGGCCCCGTGCTGGGGACCCGCTCCGCTGGCCCTCTTCGTTGTCACTCAGGTGCTTAGGAACGCAGACGAAGTGAAGCCGACAGCAGACATCGCCTTCTGCCTGTGTCGGCAGAGACGGGATCCCGTCCTAAAGCCTTCAGAGCAAAGGTCATGCATCACTCTGCTCTCAGAAATGCACAGTTGTTCAAACGAGCCCATGTCGTTTTAGCTATTTAAAAAATGTGTGCATTTACAAAAAAAGTGAGATTACTAAAATAGCTAAATCAAACGCTTTGCCTATTTTAAGAAGGTATATATTTACATACGTGAGTATTAATATTTAAAACCACTAAATCAACACAAGCTGATTTAAACCACAAGTACAAAGAAGTTGAGCGTAACCATTAAAATGAAAAAAAAGTATAAAGATATTTTATCAAAGCATTTCAGAAAGTCCCAAGCAACAGAAAGTAACCGCATGCGTTACGCTAATTTGTGTTCAGACTCCCAAGTCATAACCACTATCAAACCGGCAAACGAACAGCCGCCTCCCGACCGTCGGACGCGCTCCCGCGCACCCAGCGCTCACGGAGGGAAGCGCAGGCCCGGCAGAGGGGACCCGTCTGCGGCGCCCAGGTGAGGCCGCTGCGGCATCGAGTCCAGCCCGTTTGGCCTGCCCCCAGGGTGCAGGGAGAGTCTGGCGCCACGGGCGGGGCGGCGCCAGCAGACTCCGGTGGGACCCTGCGGGCACTGGGCACCCTCAGACCCACCCCAGACCCGCGGAGGGTCGCTGGGGGCGGACCCAGAGGGCCGCGGCCCTCCGCGTGCCCTTGACGCGTCTGAACTTGGAGCGCCTCTGGGAGACAGTGCGCGTCCACTGTCCACGACAGCAGTGCTCACTAGCTCTCTGTATTTTTAGGGCAGTTTTAGGCTCGGACACGGCACAGCCACCCCACGTCCATGGTCCCCGTCGGGGCTCGCTCCTGAGCACGCTGACGTGCGCGCGTGGTCTGAGCGCGCACCCACCGTCACACTCCAGTCTCTTCACCGCCCCCCAAACCTGCGCTGTTCCCACGCCCCCAACCCCGGCGACCTCCGACCTCCCCCTGGCCTCCAGGGCTCCGCCCTGGCCGGAGCGCCTCCAGCTGCGATCCCGGCTCCACAGCCTCCTCCCGGCGGCTTCTTTCCCGTGGAGAACGCACTTCAGGTTTCCCGACACCTTCTCATGGCCTGACAGCTCCTCCTGTTTCAGTGCGGGAAGCACCCCATTGCCGGGACACACCAGCGCGTGCGCCCGCCCCCTCTCCGGAGGTCGCCTCGATCCCTCCCAGGCCGTGGCGGTGGTGGACAAAGCTGCTGCAGTGCCGGCTCTCGGCGCCTCCGCGCCAGCTCCGAGGAGCGCACCGGGCGCCCGAGTCCGTTCTGTTTCGTTGGAACCGGCCGCAGAATCTGCAGAGGGGCCGCTCCACCTCCCACCCCCGCCTGCGGCTCCTCCGCCCGCCAGCTGCGCGGCTGCCGCTGTCCCGGGCCGTGGCCGCTGAGCGCGCGTGCGGCGGGGGCACGTGGCCGCCGCTCCGACGCGGCTCCCCCTGAGGACACGTGCTGAGGAAACTCGTCACGTGCGCTCACGCGCCATCTGCCGGTTCTCTCCAGCGAGGTGTCGTTGAGGCCCGTGGCCCCCTTTTTAAAGAAGCTGTTTGTTCTCTTATCGTCGACTTTTAAGAGTTCTTGGTGTATTTCGGGCGTGTCCCCGTCCGGCTGGCCTTCTCCTTTTCCCGATGCTGCCTTTCCCACAGAAGAACGTGCTGACCTGAAGTGAACCCCACTTCTCCACGACTGCCCTCCCGGATCGGGTCTTTGGTGTCGTGTTTAACTGAAGAGCACCGGCACGTCCAAGGTTGTCTGGCCTGTCCCCCACGCCGCCTTCTGGGAGGTCTCCGGCCGCACCGCACACCCAGGCCCACGATGCAGCTGGAGGGACCCTGTGACGCCCGTCTGCCGCTCCCCCGTGCGTGTGGACGTCCGGCTGCTCGGGCGCCGGCGGGTGAAGACGCCATCTCCGCCCCGCGGTGCCGCCTGGCTCCGTCCGCAGAGACGAGCTGCCGGAGTCAGTGGGGGCTCCGTCCCGGGCTCGCCGTTCTGTGCCCGCGGACCTGCGTGCCCGCGCCTTCGCCGCGACGCTGCGGTTTTAAGCGCTGCAGCTCCGCAGCGCGCGGGCGGCACCAGTCCTCCAGCTTTGCTCCTCTCCTGCGATACCGCGTTGGCTGTCCCGGGTCTCTCGCCTCCGCGGAAACCTGAGCATCCCTCTGTAGGCAGCCATAAAATACCTGGCTGCCGTTTTGACTGGGGATGCGCGGTTCCCGAGATCGCGCTGGGAAGCAGTGACCTCCCCACAACCCCTATCCGCGACAGGGATGGAGCACCCGTCCGCTCACTAGGTCCCTGGTTTCGTTCCCCGGAGTGCTGTAGCTCTCCCTTCTGCACCGTGAACGTGTTTTGCGAAGGTTTACGCCTCAGCATTTCAATACTGTGGGCCTGACGCAAGTGGCACTTTGTAATTCAGCTGAACTTGTTCACCGTTGGTGTCAAGGACAGCAAGCGACCTTCGTGTACTGACCTTGGGCCTTGAAACCACGCGGCATGTGCTCGCTAGTTTCAGGGGGTTTTCTGTCCCTTCTGATTGCTTACAGCCTCCCGGCATCTGTGAATGACGGCTCTGCACCTGCCTGTTCAACATGCACACCCGCACTACACTGGCAGAAACTTCCAGAAGGCCGCTGGAGAGCGGGGGGAGCGGTGAGGGGACACGCTGGCGGGGCGCCGGGTCTTGGTGAGAAGGCACCGAGCGCCGGCACCAACAACCACAGCAGCGGTTTCCTTGATGCCCTTTATCGCGCTGAGGAAGTCGCCCTCTGCTCCTAGCTTACGGAGGGTTTTCACCCTGAAGGGTGCTGGGTTCTGTCAAATGCTGCTTCTCCTCGTAACGATCCAATCACGTGAATCTTCATCGTTAGCCTATGGATGCGGTGGGTTAGCCTAGTTTTCTTTGCTTGCACGACACGTGCGGCATGAAGCAAGCTGAGAAAAGGGGCCGGCCGCGCGGCCTCGCCGACTGTGTGGCTGCTGACTTGGCGGACTGCTCCGAGCCTCCGCGTCCTCACCGGCGGCGCAGGCCAACACCCCCACCCACCGCGGCCCTGGGCGTCACGTGTGGCAACACAGGCACCCTCACAGGCACCGCGGGTCCCGTTCCAGACCACGCAATTGAGGAGTATGGTAATGAAATGTGTCGTATAAGTTTTTGGGGTTCCCAGTGCAAATAAAAGTTTCCATTAGACTACACTGCAGTCTATTAAGTGTGCAACAGCATTATGACTAATAATACAATGTACATACCTTACTAAAAACCACTTTATTGCAGCCCTGGCTGCTGTGACTCAATGGACGGAGTGCTGGCCTGAGAACTGAAGGGTCGCTGGTTCCATTCCCATCAGGGCACAGGCCTGGGTTGTGGGCCAGGTCCCCAGCAGGGGGCGTGTGAGAGGCAACCACACATGGATGTTCCTCTCCCTCTCTTTCTCCCTCCCTCCCCCTCTCTCTAAACTTGAATAAAATCTTTAAACACATACTTTACTGCTAACAAACGCCAGCCACCACCTGAGCCTTCAGCAAGCTGCCACTCGGCAAGTCCTGCCTCAACACTGACAGCTGCTGACAGGTCAGTGGGTGGCAGCGGAAGGCCAGGGTGGCTGTGGCCACTTCTTAACATGGGGCAGTGCCGTCGGCCACATCAACCTGCTGGTTCTCTCACTTGAGCACCGAGAGGCAACCGTAGGGCTGACCCACCCAACTTCATCCCTGCCCCGTGCCAGGGACCGGGGCTCTGGGGGAGGGAGAGCCACGGAGGGACAGCTGGTGGCGAGCAGTGGGAACACGCACCGTCTCCTGACTGACACAGCCGTCTCACAGGGGCGCCGTCCGCGGCTCCCCAAGGCAACACGAAGTAACGGCGAAAATCACCGATCGCAGACCACCACAACAAACACGACTCTGATCACCGCCAAGTCCGGAAGAGACGCCCAGAGAGCAGACGCTGATGAAAACGCGGCTCTGAAACACAGGCGCTACACGGGCTGCCGCCGGGCTTCCCCCGGTGAGCAGCCCGGCTCTGCGAGGCGCAGCGGCGGCACGCGCCCACGGGCGGTGTGGCTGCACGTGGCCAGGCCGAGCACCGGCTCACACCAGCGGTGCACCTGCCGGCCGAGTGAGAGCGCAGGGGCTGGCTGAGAGGCCGGCCCCGCCTTCCCTCTCAGACACTCCGACGCCCCTCGACGCCCCCCCTCCTTCCTGGCGTCTGGGGGTGCACGCCACGCGCTTCCTGACAGCCCTGGAGAGGAGGGCGGGGAGCCAGAGGTCCGGCCAGTCGGATGCTCCGCATGCAGAGCGGCCTCTCGCTCCTGCCTGCCGCACGCTCGGCAGGGATGGCCGAGTTTTACCAGTTCTTCTGTGAATTTTGTATCCGTGGTCTTTTTTCTCCCTCAAATGGTTTCACACCTGCTGCTCAAAGACTAAGTTCAACAGCCTTCATAACGGAATCAGAATACTATTTACAATCATGAGGCATTTCCCCCCAAATTACAGA